GTCTACAGCTGGTGGAAAGTCCATCTCAATTTGTTCTATGTCATGTTGCTTCAGACGAAGGGTGATGCCAAAGGCCTTCCAGTGCTTACCAAGTCTTGTGGCGATAAATAACATATCAATATCTGTCAACTGACCTGAAAAAACAGAAGGACATAATTATAGTGTATTAATATAATCACAAAACAATCTAATAGACTATTGCAGACATTATACACTGTCTCTTATACACATCTAGATGTGTATAAGAGACAGATATAATATTTATATACCAGAATAGGCCTATAACTTTAGTTTCTCACATTATACTTGTTTGTTATACAGCAGTTGCCGAAACAAATTATGTTATATATATATATAACGAAAGCGAATGATGAGAAATAATTATTGCCGGTAATGTGCGAGGAATCCTCGATCAATGTTAAGGCGACAAACGGTCTAATTATGTTCAGCTAAAATACAAACAATAGAATATTTATTAGATTACACTTTCATAGCAGTGGCACACGTTAGACAAAACCTAACGGTGCATTCAGAAAAGAACAAAGCAACAAAAATATAAAATTAAATTCTAAACTAAACTAATTCGTTCTAAACTATTTTTGAAAAATAGTTTAGAAAAAAGCAAGCAATCCAAAAACCATATCTCATGTCATTGACTCAACGCCAACTCAACGCATTCTGTTCAAACACGGGGGCGCTATATCAGATTTTCATCCAATGATCTCTCCTATATCCGGAATTACAAAAGATTGGTTAGGGTAGAGTACTGTGTAAACAACTATAGTAAATAGGCCTAGGAAATATTATTATTTGTTTTCTAGATGGCATAATCTCGGCGTAGATATACCTGCACTACGTCGTTTAGTAATAATATAATATAGTAATACGGCTATTGTACCCTGCCCGTACCCGTAGGCTAAAAAAGGAAGACAGCACATCATCGGTCGCGTCGACCAGAGACGTAAGTAGAACACGAGGAATAGGCAATACCTACACGAGCCTAGATAGGCCTAGGCCCTATACAGTATATGGCACAGCCACTGACTGCCTAGCTAGCTATGCCCCTAGGCCTTTATTAATAATGGGACACGCCTATTAAGAAAACTAACTCTTACTTGTTTTATTATAATTATATTATTATATATATTTTATTGAATTATTGTAGTCTAGGCCTAGCCCACAGGTTAGGCGGTTAGGGCCTAGGCCTCCTAGTTAGGGCTTAGTTATGAATTCGATCCAACTCGGCCACAGTCAACTCGGCCACAAGTCAACTCGGCCACAAATCAACTCGGCCACAAAAAGTTCGGCTGCAGTCAACTCGGCCACAAGTCAACTCGGCCACAATAATAATGCTGTTATTATTGGTGTCATTGTTATTATTGTTTTTATTACCGTTAGTTTCAATATCAATTATTAATCTTAGCATTAACATTATGTATTGTTTAAATTTTTGCTGATATTATTGTTACCATATACGGTAAATAATACAAAATTATGAATGAAGATGGCGCCGTACTATGGCGACAGGGCTCTATCTCGGCTGATTTTCATTGTTATTATTGTTTTTATTACCTTTAGTTTTAATATCAATTATTAATCTTAGCATTAACATTATGTATTGTTTAAATTTTTGCTGATATTATTGTAACCATATACGGTAAATAATACAAAATTATGAATGAAGATGGCGCCGTACTATGGCGACAGGGCTCTATCTCGGCTGATTTGTTTTTGTACGTTGTTATCATATCTCATTATTGACGTCCACTCCACTATCACTTACTCCAAAGATGAGATATTAAGACTTAGGCCAGCAGCACCAGTGATCCCAATCTGTAGACTTAATGTCTTTCCTGACGATATTTTACTAGGCCCCCGATCGCCTGAGCCATTGGGAATAAAAGAGATCCAACAGTGGAAAAGAGGCCGCCGAGGCGGACTGCTTGCCAGGCTTCGTCGCCACTCACATAGACTGCCGCTACCTACTATATGCTTGGCCAATGTGAGATCAATCCGTAGTAAGTACGATGAACTGCTTTGCAACATAAATTGCAAAAAGGAATACAAGGACTGTTGCACCTATGCACTGACGGAAACCTGGCTGGACTCTACGGT